GAGCGCTCGGGCGGCTGCAGCATGAGGGGGCCGGCGCTCCTGGCGGCGCCCCTTCCCAAGGGGCGCCCTAGGCGGCTGCCTAGTCCGCCTTACAGGTAGCGCCGGCCCTGTCTGTAGTGCTTTGCAAACTAGAATTCCTCCTCAGCCCATCTAAATGCAGCCTGCTCCCACAATGCATATCCCCATCTTCCTGGCAGGCTCATGGTTCATCCACAGCTTGTTTGGCAGGAGCCTGGGATGCAGTCAGTAGCATTAACAGAACTTCAATTGATAGCTCCTTTCAAAAACTATGAATGAAGTTGTCAGAAAATTGATCCCAGCCTCAAATTGTATTACTTAGTAATAAAAGTTCATTTGGAACTCAACTGCAGATGAAAGAATGAGTTTAATACTGTCACTTTAAGAATATTTGATGTATTGGTTTTAGGTACATTCAATTTAAAATTTGTCTTTAGCAATATAAATTGTAAATAATATTCCATAAAGTAAAGGTAGCTCCTGTTTAGAATTGCTTAACATAAATCTTTAGACTTCAGTAGAAATAATGAAATAAAGTAGATCCTGATTAGGATTGTATAACATAGTCCTCTAGACTTTAGTAGCAATTATGAAATAAACATAGTAGACATTCAACAGCTGATTAGGATTCAACAAAGCAAAATGTATAATAAGCAATATAGGATCCCAGAGGGTAGACTTAAGTATTCCCTTTTATCCTTTCCAATAACTGTAAGTATGGGCCAATTAATAATCCCAGTAAACTGGAGGATTTAGCTTGATTGATGTAGATGTTTATAAGGGAAGTCCTTTCCAGATTAGTGAAGATAGAGGTTCCCTGAAGTAATTTGGGGATTAGAGGTAAACTTAGTCAAAGTCCGTTCCGAGTCTGGGAGAAGAGAAATCAGCAATGTCGGTATGACGTATCAGAGGTTGGTACACAGCTTATTGAGAGAATCGAGTCTGGGAGATGAGAAGTCAGCAATGTCGGTAATGAGGTATCAGAGGCTGGTACACAGCTTATTGAGAGAACCAAGTCTGGGAGAAGAGAAGTCTGCAATGTTGGTAATGAGGTATCAGAGGTTGGTACACAGCTTATTGAGAGAACCAAGTCTGGGAGAAGAGAAGTCAGCAATGTTGGTATCAGGAATCAGAGGTTGGTACACAGCTTATTGAGAAAACTGAGTCTGGGAGATGAGAAGTCAGCAATGTTGGTATCAGGTATCGTAGGTTGGTACACAGCATATCAAGAGAAGGAGCCCCATTGGCACTTGGCAACAATTTGGTAACAAATTGAGCTATCTGATAGCGGCGGTAGCTTCTTTTTACCATGGAAGCACATGACGTGAAACACATGGGCGCAGTTGGATCGGCAAGAACCCGGAAGTCATACAGCTAAATGCCGATCAGACAGAAAATGATGGAGGGAATCATGACACAAATGTAGCTATCATTCTAGATATCGATTTCATTCATCCTGTGTGATATATAGTGTTGCTGCCATGGGATTAAATACATATCCCTGAAACCTTTGCTAAACTGTGGTGTATGGGATAAGTTCATTCATTCTGAGCCACTTCCTGGTCTAGACAGAGCACACATTAAATGCTATTAAATGATATTTGAAAGGTATATTTCTTAGGTATAATAGTTAACTACAGCAGTCAATTAAGTAATTAACAACTAGACTTATGCATGATGAAAACTTTTATTCTGCTGAACCTCTTCCGCTAAAAAAAAATTCAGGACAGCAGACTTTAATCTATGCCGAGGCTTGGCTTGGCAGAATTTCAGTGCCAACAAAAATTCATGGAAACAATTCTAACATACAAAAATGATTACAATATTGCGTGGCCTATTGGCAATGCAATATGAGCACCACAACCTACTGGTGGTAGGTTGTGACAGCTGTGCAGAATCATATATACCATCAGTAACCTGCTACTTTCTTGTTCTGCTTTTTCTCTGAGTGGTGTCCTTACAGATGTTGCTTTATACCTGCACTAATGGGATTACCTTTTCACTCACCGCTACTCATATCCTTGTCGCACAATTTGCACTTTGCATTTTGTTGGAGGTGCTCAAAGCGATCCCAAACTTTGCCTCATTGTCATAATACAGTAACATCATCCCTTTACCTTCTTACTGCTAAAGGTGCAGGTGGATTTGCATTTGTAGTAGTGAAATATGTTGCAACACTCGCCTGTACACCATCACTTGGTTGATTAACCCCTTAAGGACCAAACTCCTGGAATAAAAGGGAATCATGACATGTCACACATGTCATGTGTCCTTAAGGGGTTAATGCTGATGGAAATGTTGATGGTGGTGCTATTGGTGGTTGTTTGGTGGTTATGGTAACATGGACAGTGGGTGACCTACTTGCCCTTGGTGGCAGTTGCAGCAGATGTCACAATTGTCTCCATTGGATGAGGTGATTTAAAAGCAAATAGAGATGGACTTAGACAAGGTGAAGAAGATGCAGAAGGCCAGTGCAGTGGTAAGGGTAACAGAATTATATTCACCGGATTCCTCACCACCACCAGACATTGGGAACACTACTTTGGTACTCTGCTCTAAGTCTTCACTAAAGAGTGGCTCTGGTGACCTTCTCCCGTCCCCCCTTCCCCACATAAACTAGACTATCTTTTAGTTGCTTCTGGGTGGGGCTCCAAAACAGTATAATACTTGAACTAGCTGTGGTAGAAGGTGCAGCACGAGTTGTTGAAGAAAGAAAATTATAAGAAAAAAAAAGTATCATGGGCGTTGAATTAGATTTAACGGTGTTGGTGGGGGCAGCAGTGGCGGAGTTGGCAGCTGTCCTCAATGCTATGGAAGAGATGTTCTGACTCTCAGAACAGGACCACTTTATCTACCCTCACTCAATTTCATTTTGGGGTTTCTATGTGACATTGATGATGGCGGGTTTCTTTTTCTTAATACAATAAATTTGGGATATGACTGATTGTGTATTGTGTAAAATAACAAAACACTTAACTGTTAAGTGGCAGTGGCTAGCAGTAATCCACTGCACAAAAAGTAAAAACAAGTCTTACATTATGATGAATGAAGCAGGCCACCTAGCACTCAAAATGTGTGCGACTGTCAGTTAACCAAAAATGTTTTTGAAAAGTTAAATTGGATAGCTAAATTTGTTTCAATGATCCATGCTATTTCCCACTCCCACACAAATACAGCAATAGTAAAACACACAGTATCACTGCTGGTCTGTCTCCATCAGCAACTGCAGTCAAATGGTTTGAAAGAATCCTTTTTGGAAGTATAGATTGTTTTACTGGTCCCACTTTTTTCCCTCTGCTGGTCAGTTGCCACTTGATCTGAGAATAAAATCAACATTTACTGTTTGTCCCTTTGTCTCTATTCCATACCCATTTTTTTTTTGGTGCCAGAAATGGCACTGAGAATCATGAATTGAAACAAGCATGTTCAGGATTGAATGAGTCAGTTTCCCTCAGATTCTGGCACATGGTGGGTTGGAAATCAGAATTTTGTCTGCTCACCCAATCGGCCCGAATTTGTTCAGTTTGTAGTTGGCCAGAAATGAATCTCCAAGTCTACTAGTGACATAAAAACAAACATTAAAAACTAATCACGGGCAAATACATATTGAAATAGGATACTAGTTATCTCCAGATATGCACAAAAAAACAATAACAATCTGATAAACAATTGATGAAGGCAGCAGCAAAATGGTCCTAGGAGTAGTCAGCAGCAGGCCAATGACAGGAAATGCCTAATCTCATCAATAGTAAAACCACACTTTTTTTAAGGGCAGGAGGGTAGGGGATGGGAGGGAGGGATGATTTAATCTCCCTTATTAATATGTGAATAGATAGGGGCATGGGAGGATTTAGGATAATCCCGGCATAACAGGTGAAACGCGTCGAGTGCATTTTCATTTTCATTTATTTTTATTTTTTCCCATATGTGTATTAGATATTTAGTCAATGTCCCAGATGTTTATTTTTCTGTAACTAATTAGGGATTACATATCCTTCCACTTGTTATTTTATTTTAGCATCATCCCCTAGTGGGCAATTGTAGGTATTACACTTGTTCACTTTTCCTATGGCATCTCATTTAGTCTCAGCTACAGCCCTTACACCTAGTAACTCAATTGGCGTACTACACATAGGGATAAGCATATATATTAATTTAACTTTTTGTTATGGTATAAAATTCTCTTTTTCCACAATACTAGTTATTACTTGATATCAGTTCAAAGGCTATTATGGCCTTCTATTAAATATATATAACAAAGTTTATCTTTTACATTTTTTGTATTTATTTTTGTAGATTTCTGCTTTTTTATTCCTTATTGATTTATTTCTCATTTTGAAGGGCTTAAACCTCTTGGTTGCGTGGACAACCAGAGTAGACTCTAGGAACAGTTTTTTCTTCATTTTTTTTGTT